TTTTTATTTAAATTTTTGTCAAACGTATATTTTGAGGTAATGGCAGCCGTTGAATATTCATTGAAGGACATTTTCTTTTTATCTTTGTTTCATAAGGCGATGGAAAATACATATTTTTTTTGTCTTTTTAAAAATCGACCTACAGCACTATGTATTTCTATAGAGTATTCCGTCATTTTTTTTCACCATTTTTTTTTTTTCTACTGCATTCGCAATAGCATCGGATCACTTTATTTGGCAAGTTATCACGTAATGGAATTACGTGTGTTAATTATGTCTACGACATTGCTCAACGTACTTAAATCTTAAATTGGCTCTTATTTATTTCGCAAGAATATAAAATTATTATTCGCGAATAAAGTGAGGATAACCTTGTTTACTTGCGATTTCCTTTGAAAAACATTAATACCGCGATAATAATGAATAAAGCTTCTTTCTATCGAGATAACGCCAATCGAATTAACTTATTCCTAGAGAGACTTTAAACTCTATTGAATCTATATACCAGATAAGAAATCACGTGCTTCTTCTTAAGTAAAATTTCAAATATTTTCAATCAAAGACGAACTGCTAAGAATATCACGATAATAATCCTTAAGGTTTCCTCGAAGCTATCTATAGATATACAAGCCATGAAATACTGATAAGGTTAACGAGCATCCGTACATTGGCCATATGCGATACCTAGTCATCATGACCTTTACCAATTTCCGTCACTGGTATACGTTCGATAACCCATACATTATTTCGGCCACTGATTAACATCGATATCAATCAATATTATGACTCAGCACGCTTTTAGCAATTTCGATTATTATATTGTTACTAATAATGCATAATAATTTTGCGCTACCTACATTACGTTATCGATACTCGCGATCTCAATCCCATGGTCAATACGCGTAAGAGAGCATGGGAGAAATGCGTGTGCAATTAACCCTAATTTAAAACACTGAGATCACAGTGACCCCGTTAATCAGTAGCTTAGGGTTCACTGTCCGAAATTATCTTATAGTCCTTACAATCGGAATTACCCAAGCTGATCGAGTCAACCTGTCAAAAACTTGGCCAACATACACAGCGACGTGTCGTTCAAATTTTTGTCCCTCTTATGAAATCAAGAAAAAAAAAATAATTGTACCCAAAAAATTTTTTTTTCAAAAATCATTCCACGATAAGATCATTTTTTAAGGATATGTACATGTACAAATGTACATCGAATATATTCGTATTCACGAAGTCTCGACCTTTCATAATTTCCAAGCTTGACTTTCGCGCCTTCGGGAAACCCATAGGTGTATTTCTCTTACGAAGTCCACTGTTCGCCTCGTCGTGAGCAACGTAAAGGAATAATTTCACAAATTGACATCACCATGGAAACATGTATTTTAATTTTTATCAATGCCCAAAGGAATTATCCTTATTCGTTCCAAGAAACGAAGCAGCTTCTCAAAGATTCGTATTCATCTTGAACCAATCGCGTCTCATTTCCGTTACAGAAAAATTGATGAAAAAAGAAGAACATAAAAAAATCCAGCCATGAGACAAGATACCAATCCATAATAATCCATAATAATAATCCAATTCACAAATTATTTTTCCAACCAATCAAAATGTATATTGTTATACCGAATATATTCCTTGGGGTAAATTTAATCCCAAGGTTGTACACAAGCATCTTACGCATTAAGAAACCCCGACTACGTCTAAGGCTTATTGCCTGGTAATTAATTGAATTCTAGTTTATTATTAAACGCGAATCTATTTAAAAAGAAAGGGGCGACTTTTCCCAACGTAAACCAGTTGCCTCTTATTAATCGCATATATACTCCTCGCAATCGATACGCAGTGGTTATCAGTTACGAAATGGTACTTCCCCGGGAACTTACTGTACATCCAATTAACACGTGAGACTAATTGTATATCCATATCGTATGACTGTGACATTAATTATATATATATATCCCTTCAGATTCCACTCAATCAAGCTCATATCAAAATCTTACGACAATAGTATCGATCACTTACTAATATGTCTGTCGGTTATCACAAGACAATCACCAGACTTGTTAGTAAATTTAACCTGAAAAATATAATCCATCTATTAAGCACCAGCGCTTCACGGATAATCAATAAGTAATCAGACACAAGTTACTTCGGCCGATACTATCGGTCTGTGAAAAGTTAACGATCTCGCAAATCAATCAGCAACGCATAATAATGTCTGCGGCGAATTGTTGCAAAAATTGGGACGACTGGTCTACCGATTGGTTCACGTGCACATTTAACGTACATCCTTTATAATTAGCGAAACTGCGCCTCTGGTGTCTCCGCGTCATGAAAAGGCAAAACAGAAACTGCTACGTCGTCCGTTGGATGCCTCAACGTTTACACCGAGAGGCCATTGCACTTCTGGATGCATCCTTCGACCGAGATGAAATTTTCTTCTTGGTAGCCACTGACGCAATTACCTCTGCCTACCGTAAAGGTGCATGCACACGGGTACGCTGCGTCAAAGTTGGCTCGCGCGCCAATACGTAACAGGGACGTGGAGTTTCGAGATTTTTCTTATTCAACTGCATATATTCAACGTTATTGGACACGACCATAACGTTGGACGATGGAAATCCTTTGTTGATATATTTAAACAGGCATCTCGACCCTGTCGTTTAAGTATTGCGATTTCTTGTGAAATATATTCGTCTTTCCTCTTATAGTTTTTCCTGAGCTTCTGACGGGTGACGTCATAGTTAACGTATGCTTGCGCGCCTCGATATAAACACTGTGTACGGGTGTACGTAATACGACGTAGTGACGTAAACCGGGATATAGTGTATAGGGATATTCTTGTGCATACTATGACGCTATCTGTTTTTTTTTTAACTCAGCCTTTTATTATTATACAACTTGAAGCTTTTCCGGGTTGTCACTTTTAGGCCTGACTTCGGATGATTAATTCTCGGCTTTTTGATTAGCACGAAGAATGCAGAAGCTGGTTCATTTGCTTATATGCTGGGCGGTATACTCGGTTCTTTATTTTTTGCTGCTCATCGAAAATATTTTTAACCTAGAGCAATGATATCATTACGTGTCTTTTTGAACGTGCGGAAATTTACACTTTTGCCTAATTGCTGCCTCGGGCGAGTGGTTAAAGTATTGGCGAAAAAAAAAAGCACCCAAAAAAATTGTTTAATCATTCTCAGCTGCGAAACGTCACTTTCTTAAGTGATACTACGTAGCCGGAAATCTTGATTGAAAATTCCATAGAGAAAACACCTGAATAAATAATTGTAAATACGCTGTGCCAGTGATCGTATGTATTTTGAAAATTCGGAGTTACATAGAAATCACTATCGAACAGTCTGTCGTCGTAGCGCCAAATTTAATGTAATTAACCAGTACGACGTTCACGTGAACAGCGAGTGACTTTTTGCCTGATCACTGGAAATTTACACGGAAGTCTCGGCAACGACCGCTGCCGGTGACTTAGTCACGATAAGCGAAATTGGCGCGCAATTCTAACCTCTCGAAACTGTCTACGAGTAAAAATGAAGCATAAATTAATATCACTTAAACGAATTATCATTGATTTTGTATCCTCGCGAAATCCAAATGAATAAAGATATACGTCGTGCCGGTGAAATAAAATAATTTTCCCAAAATTTTAAACCCGTCTCGTAACAGTAGAAAACGCCAAGACTCTACCGGGTGAGTCTTCGGTGTTGGATAAGCGTACAGTATCGCGTGTACTTGCATACAGACATTGCAGTCCTTCGTATCACTGGTGAGCCGACGATCGCACGTAAAAATCAACAAGGATCCACGTATAGTTGATAAGGAAAAATATGGCAACCACAAAGTCAAAGAAGGAGACCAATCGAAGGAAATATAAATTTAGCAACTTGACAGTATTGCGTCCGCGATATAAAGACATGGTTAAAACTTTCCTAACCCACCGCTATCTCGTCCGCCATTCACCTCAGTGTGTTCTATCTAGGACACGGACGCCTGAATCACGATACGATGTCAAGAGTAAACGGTTCTTTACCGTAGAGGGAAAAAAAGAGGTGCCGGAGATTGGGGAGATTCCGACAAGCTTCACCTGAGAGTTAGGTTCCTCCTACAGTGTACTGTAGGCACGTATGCACTCGTATGCACGCGGCGTAGTACGGCAGGGAATATCATGGCGAGCGTTAAAACCAGAAGCTCGCACTTTTCGTAGGAGTAATGATTCGGCCTAGTAAGAGAAAGAGCGGTACGTATATGTACTTGCGCGTTCTGACCTCTCATTGGTGAGAGTCAGCATCCAATTGCGGAGGAACACGTCTCAGGTTACCTACTCTTTTCACGCTCCGCACGCGTGATACTACTTTGTTAGTCATCTTGATCATCAATCTTCTCGATATTTAACAACCCGATGAGAAAGAGAAATCCCCTTTGATGCGTGGCCGGCGAATTTCTTAAGAATAAATATTTGATATATATATATATATATTGGATGAATAAAGTTCTGAAAATGCAAATTTCAAGTACGTCTAATGTTGACTGGTTGTGTATAAAAATAAATTTATTTACAAAAGACTCATCGAGATCTTTTGTTCTTAAGTCGTGAGAAGATGTAGGAAATGTTTAAAAAAAATTATTAAACGTTTACTAACTTCGCATCGGTAAGGACGATTGTGAAAGTAAAAAAATGGAAAGTGTTAGAAGTGTCTTTGGGACATCAGCATTGGGATGATCAGCTGTTTTATGTATTTTGTATATCCGTATAGCTCGAAGTCTCGGTGTTAAGAGAGAAGAGTTATATGCATTGCCAACTATTTAACCAAGGTTACGGCTTTTCATTCCTACCATTATTACTTGTGTCTCTGACTTCGCTTCGTTCGATCACTTTGTTCCTGGTGAACGTCTGTCGACCAACACGTAATGGTCTGACGAGACAGTCTCGTTTCTGTATATTATGTGGTAAAGTACTTACTATTACTTTTGTCTCTTTGCAGATCCTCCCGTGGATAGCGTGTACATGATATGTGGAGTCTTGATTGCTATGGTCCTGGTTGGCGTGATAATAGTACTGCTGGCTGTTACCATCAGGTGAGACATTGTCTTGAAATTTCATGGACGTATCGCTTTTTCACCTGACATTGGTCATTAGCAACATTTCATTTTTCAATGATTTTCAACTTTTTTTTTGTTTCCTTTCCCACCGCTGTTAAATCGTCATGCGTGTGATAACGTTGAAGTCAATTTTTTGTAATACATAACAACTACGTATCATTGTGCGGTTTATATATTTCATGATTTTTTAATATTATCTCATTGGTCACGCAAATATCCATGTTTTCGATGCTGAAAATATTCAATGACAGTTCTGTCATTGAATCGACGAAAAAATAATTAACTTCTATTCGTCATTGATTTATGTCTTACCTTCGATCACGCGTTAGAATTTGCTGGAAAATCTGTTTCTACACTGTGTTCGTTAAAATATTGAGTTATAACGAAATTTTCATTCTTCTTAAAATTATACACCGTGCAGTCTTTGAATATTGATTTTTCACGTGACCCAGCGTTACCGTATCATTTCGAAAGTCATCGATATAGATATAATACACAAAGAAGTTTCGCGCTCTTTTGGAATCTACAAGTTGCCAATCTCTATTTTTCCATTGGCAGAACAGCAATCGCGCCTAGAATGACATCACGTGTTTTTCGTCAGTTAAATTCCAGGTCTTTGTGATCCATCTCGGTAAAAAAATTTTAACAATCCCGTAGACCGTGATTACAATTAACTTTGTAAAATTCCATTGAAGAGTCATCCACCGTAACCGGGATACAGTAAATTGCTCATCTCATTATCACGCATACTTATATTGTAACTAATGTCACTTGATAATATAAAAAAGTTACAGCTTCGTGAGCAAACGCCTGATGTTTTTTGTTTTTCCTTTTCAACCTCGTCAATGGTTACTACAAAGCAACATGTAATACGAATTGACGTCAATTGGCACATGGTGGTTCCCTGATAGTTGATAAGCCAAGTCGCACGGTTGCATAGAATAAACAAGCAATCAACATCCCCCTTAGCTTTATCGGGAATGATAGAAGCGATTTCATAATTAGACAGCTAATTCTAGCTCGTTCAAATAAAATTAAATAAGAAATCAAAGACTGTCGATTATGTATGAAAAATTTTTTCTCGCTGTTAATTGCCGATATTTATGATGATAATAATAATAAATGTGCAATATCGTATAATCCGAACAGTTGCACTTATTTCGGGAACAGTCATTGACGTATTGACGAAATGTTCCGTTCAATTAAGGACAACTGTCGTCTGATAGTCTAGATACAAATTGTCAATTAGCACATATATCTGCAAGTTGCACAACGTTGAGTCAACTTGTAGTCCGAAGACGACGTCGCTGCGGGAGTCGCGGAGAAGTACCGATCAGTTTGGCACTAAGGTTAAATAAATGTTGTACGGTATCGCAGGGAACTTCGTGGTTATCGCATGTAGAATTTGAGCGAATGACGTTTTTATAGAGTTTTCAAATAGCTGACGGTGAATGAGGTGTCGATAAAACTTAAAGGGTGTTGAATGACTTTTTTTTGTCCTAGTGACTGTTAGGAAATTTTCTAAGGAATTTTTTTACGGAGCACTGGGTAGCCTTGCACGTGCTCTAAATTTGATGGAAATAAATATTTTACGACGAGACGCACTTGTATGGGCAGACTTGCTAAACGTCGTGAGCCAATGCTAAATGTTGGATTAGCAGGCAGATAAAATATTTGAAGAAAATTTTAAACTTTTGCGAATTTAATATCGAGTATTAGCTTCTTGGGTAAACCAGCGAATGTGGAATATTTTGTACGTTGTGACTGCTTGAATTTTTGCGGTATATGCTCTGTGCTCACGTGTTATTTCGCGTGATTAGAGTGCGGTTATCTAATATCGCGGAATAAAGTGATTATACTTTATGCGTAGAAAAGTCTTAAATTCTATTTGATAAAGAATTTTTGTTTAAACGACGCGTCGTTCCACCTCGTCCGAAGTTTTTGGAACTTCGCTCTTGTCCGTATAACGATTACGAAAACGATTTGAATTTATTTCGAAAAATTGGTAAAAATTTGAAAACTCACCGAATATAATTAAATAATACAATTTTCCGTGCCATTATTTTCGAACGCGATTTATATCATTAGGCCGCGATAATTCGTAAGCTGTAAACACGCGAAATCCCCAAAGTTCGTATTGTCATTTTTCAAAGACAAAAAAGCCGTCACGCGAATGAAACGTGATCGTCCGTCACTATAAATTAGCGTCAATTACGTAATTGGCAATACGTCATTTAACAAGAGTCTAGCTAGAAACACGACTCAAACAATTCCAGGTACTTTAGTATACAGGATTATAAATTTCTCGATAGTTCGCTAAAATCTTATTCAAATTTTAAAAACGCCAAATTTCCTATGGAATTATTTTCGTTTGTCGCCTCGTGACCCGGACTCAAAATTTCCGCGAAGCTTCTTCGATTTCCGTTTTCTTCCCGCTTACGTTTACTTCGCGGACACGTGGTGGGATCTGTGGAAAACATTGAGTCAGTTCTTCTGCCAGATCGTAACGTAACGCGTGCTACTCGTTCACTTATCACGGATACGTTAACCGCTTCGGTATACAGGTATTGCACTACCAATGAAACTTATCCTACGCACTGCAGCGAATCATAGGGAACTTTGTCCAACAGATAAACTTGAAAATACAAACAGTGCTCGATGCAATTGGTAACCTTGTTTTCGTGAACTCTCGACCGAAAACACTATATATACAATTAGCTAAGATTAAAAAACTTATACTAGAACTTTGCAAATACTGTTTTTCTCGCGAATAAAGCACAGACGTTTCGCGAAAATCGATTTCACCATAAACGCCGCGTTTCTCGTGCACCAATGAAATTAAACCGTTTGCGAAACGCTGCATAAGTTTGCATCGCAAGACCAAGGGGGGAGGGGGGGGGGAATGACAGAACCGCGAATAATACCGTCACACGGTGCAACTGGTATCATTATCTGTCGTTACCTTTGTAGCGGTGACGTGGAAATTTAATGAAATTTCATATCGGCCAGCGTATTAATTAGAGGGGAGCAAGCAAACGCGTTAATCTGGGATTTGCAATGTGCAAACTTTCGTGTTTACCAGTCAGGCTATGTTGACGACGTATCTCTTTTTGTTTACGGCTACTTGCGTAGATCGTTAAATTACGACGTATAACGAAATAACGCGGTTGGGACGTTTCGTGGAAAAATTTTGTCCGCTGGCTGAACGATACGGTCAGCAATGTTTATGCAACGTTAATTTAGCTGTCTTAATTCGTACAGCGTAAAGTCAAACGAGTCTTCGACACGTTCGATTCAATTTCAGAAAGTCGTCTTCGCGTAACGAAATTTTCCAAATGTGCAACAAAAGTGCATGACACTGTAGTGGAAGCGATAAAAAAATAATGGAGCCAGAGAGGCGAAATCCTGGAAAATTGGGTGATTCGCTCGAGAATAGATGCTAGAAATAATAATGAGAGAAGTTTCACTGGCGAATTGTCTTGGAGTAAATTTCTGTCGACTCAGATCGCCACGGACAGAACGAATTTATAAATAGAGTCTGAAAAGTTAACGCGCATTTATACTTTTACCTCTTCGCGTTTTCGTTTGAAGTTTCCCGCGGCGACATCTGCTTCGAGCAATTTTCGTGCATGTCAGAGAAATTTACGAAGCCAAGAAAAAGAAGGGCTAATTTACTTTTTTTACCACGTGGAAAATAAAATTTACGTAGAAACGAAAGAAATCATTCAATCGTCGCAATAGCTTCGTTTAACCGTTACATGTGAACTCCCTTAATTCGCTCCCACGACATTTCCTTCTATTCCAAGAATTTATCGTTACACCCGTACGAGAGCCGATCGGCTGAATCTTAAGAACGTCACGTTACTAGTTCCGTGTGTGTTTTTGTGTTTGAAGAATTCGAAAGTATCAAATTGACTTTTCTCCTGAAAATTAACCAACTGGAATATTCCCGTAGGCATAGGAAAGTATTGACAAAAAATTCGCAACAGCCTTCGAGCACATTTCTCGTGTCCGATTTTCATTGACGCCATGGAATAACCAATTTACGAGGGTGTTAATTCCTCTCGCGAATTACTACAGTCACCATACGTCGTACGAAAAGGTTTTGCCTGGTACACAAGCATATAGAGGCAAATTGATGTTTACACGTTGTAAATAAGCCACGAGTCTTACGGATCTTCACTTCCAGTTGATACCGGTTACAATCCTTTGTCTTTGTTTCTGCTCAAACACATCTGGCAGTTGACTCAAGTCCGAAGTGACTGGTACAGGTTTGGTATAGGCATTAGCTGTCACCCTACAGTCTACAGTAACTATGCATAAGACTTGATACGATTCGGCATGGAAGCGACGTCGGCAGATTAGAAACCCATAATACGTACAGTAATAGAATCGAGTACGAATCCTCTAGAGATAATCATCAGCTGTCTATGGACTTTATAATACCTAATAAAACGTTCTGAGAAAGACTATCGTTAACGCGAACTCTACTTGTACAACTATAGGTAAATATTGCAACAGCGAATGAATCTAATAATAAATATCTAGTCGGAATCTGGTTTCTTTTCTAAGCTATTTTTTTCTCATAATCAATTATCATAACGATAATTCATTCCGGTCCGGCGAGTCTCTCGCAAGACTCTTTACGTGGAAATATTTTCCTTTCCTCTCCGATAGGAAATTCGCAGGTCGCCGCGGTGTTGAAATTCGTCGAAATCGACGATTAAACTTTTAAATACGCACTGCCCCGCTAAGATACACAAAGTTTCAAGTCATATAGACGTTGCCAAACCCCAACAAACGCTATCGGGTACGGTAACGCAACGTTGTGAAATTTAATCGTCTTGGGATGTCCACTGTTCAACTCCCACGTGTCACGGAGATTTTATATCTGACGTTTGTTGACTTAAAACTTTATTCGTTATGGTTTTTGGCCAAGGATATAGTACCTACTGTTTTATTAGGATTCCCTGCTATTTTTTTTTTCCTGCAAACGATTACTTATACCTGCAAAACGAATGTACACAGTTATGCGAGTAACGGACCGCATTGCTTGATTACTTTGAAAACTTTGGAAAAACCCAATTTTCAGGTATTTGGAAATTCCATTTGCACGAAATCGTTTTGTTTCTTTTTGTTCTCAACGTGGAGGTCCTTTTTTAACCTCGAGTAATGAATAATAGCATTTTCTGTAGTTAATTATTTAGATAACGACGCTCTTGGCAACACAACCTCTAATAAATAGGGTGGAACTGAAGTCATAGGGAATGAAACGTTGAAGAAGGGGTACCCTGGTAATTCTACATCATACATATATATATACGTAACGCATAGAGCCACAAGGAACTAAAATAGACAGCCATTAGCTATAGTACGTTATTGTCGAGGATACGGATTACGTTTACATCTGCGATCGTATATATTTAACAATATTAATTTTTAATTCCTATGACATTAAATATAGGATCTGACTTTGAATAATTTTGACGTGGGAATCGGTGTCGTTCAAATTTGCCCGGTCGAGCTAGAAAATATACTAATCAAATATTCGATAAAAGTCGATTAATCAGAGTCCTCTTTTGGCAAAATTATTTGTATCATTGCTTGATTTTGACTTATATGAATTTTTAAGTGGTTCCATTTCAATACTTGGTATATGATATAGATTGTGTAGAGATTATATATGTTCCGATGATAACAGATTTCCCTAGAATTCTGAGAAAATAAATTATAGAGGAAAGAGATTAGGCAGACAAGACTTCACTACGCGTAGTAATGATGACTTATCATGATACGCGTCCGGTCGTTACACGTATCACAGATATAATTTAAGTGCATGCAACTATATATTATTCGTCCATTAGCGAAATGACATTGTAATTGACATATAACGTAGCAAAAACTATATATGATATCGTAGAAGAGTACCCGTATGGATAGCGTAACATTTACTGAATTATAATTTGCCATTTTTTAGTAATGGACATACGGCGGAATGTCATTATCACGAGGTGAGAAATAGATGTCATTGATAAGTTCATCGTCTGGTAGCCTTTCAGGCTCTGAAGAATATAGTTCAGCATATTTCGAAGTGCTTCAGTCAGACAATACCGGCCATGCCGAACAATGAACCCGCGGCTTTAAGTTCACCGTGAACTTTCCAAGTAACATAGACTCGTTATTACATACGGACCTTGAAGCAGCATAGTAGTAGGAATCGAGTATAGCTGCGCTGAAGTAGTGTGGAATGGTGTCGATTTTTTTTTAATAAGATGAAAATGACCGTTCAGCATAATACAGCAGTGGGCGCTATTAGTGATATAGTCTTTCCGTAAGACTCGGCGTTAGTATTAGGTGGCAGTTGGTCTCGTAACTATAATGTCGACAGATAGAGTCAAAGAAATATTCTCCATCGTTAGATTACGTTATTCGAGGATGCTGACAGTTGCCAGAAAGTTTAAAACCGACAGTGGTTGGCGTCCGTCTGGATCGAGATCCGGCAGCAGTCTGGTGAAAAACTTTTGACCGTTCAAATCCGAGGTAATGTCGCTCCTATTGGTCCCCGCTGGCAGGCGGTGGCCAATCACATGGCGCTGAGTTGTGACGTCACTCTACCGTATAAAAGCGAGCTGCCCGTCACTAGTCAGCTCAGACCTCACACTGGCTTTGAGATGAGCGCGGCAAGACTGTCTTCTTACGAGTCTATAGCTCGCCCCAAAGCGAAAAGTTAAATGAAATTTCTCATTAAACAAATCACGAAGACCAAGGATATATAAAACTAGTCAAAAAGATAATTCAAGTGTATATTTTAAACTAAAAGTGTTTTTCGCGTATCGCGTCAAACCTGTACAAAGTGTAAATAAGGTATTTATTTATTTAAGAAGCGTCGTCTGCTAACGTTGCCAACTGAAAGATATCGAAGGCGTTCAGTGCTGGTTCGTACGAAATAACAATCGAAACGGACATAAGAAAGAATTTCGTATCGTGTGACAGAGTTATCACTGCTAGCGCGACTGAACTCCAGTGACCCCTTCGTTTATTGGTTAAAAACGTTATATACGAGGAAACCACCATGGGGCCCAAGGCTTGATTCGTTGTAGAACTGAGGACTAGTGCAAGACATACCAATTGATTGGACTTTCTCAGAGCCCGGCTCATTGTCATTTGGGTTCAAGCCCATTGTATTGGTTTTTATTTTTCCTTAAACGTCGAATTCTCGATTTGCTCGAGAGTTCACCATAACGGCCTGAAAATTCCTTCCAACGCCGCGAAGAAGCTCACGAAGCTGTACCTGAAGTATAAGATGGTCGGGAGCAACGGAACCATGATTGCGATCCGACTTGTCCGCAGCAAATTGCGGAAGAGGGAGGATCACTCAAATTCCGTACATCCTGAACCGCCGGTCGTGCAAACCGCCACTCCGATCTCTGCCATTGTCACGCCGTCTGCACCTTCGATCACACCGCAAAGCGAAGGACCCTGCACTACGGATTTGGGCAACGCTACAGAATCGGAACTTACTTACACGACCACCACAGGACAGTTCATTTGGCAATTTCCACCGCCTTATCCACCACCGCACACGCCGCCGCCACAGTACACGCTGTACAACAACGACCAGGTAAATATCCATTCCTTACCTCATAACGAAAATATCGACCTTCATATCAAACTTCCATCAGTTTCTACCACGAACACGTTCTACTTTTTCGTATCCGTTAGTAATAATGGTTCGACGCCGAAATATTTTCTAACGGGCTCCTTGCAAAATTCGCCACCGTGACTCCGTGACACGGACTATCGAAAGAGAGAGTAGTCTGCAAAAAGTGTTGCAAGACACGTTTAGCAAGCCAAACTTGTAGAGGGTTCGAAATCTTGTTAATATCGAATAACGAATTTTCACCTACTTTTGCACTTTATCGATAAACAAATATAAACACGATTTTTTGCGCACAAAAAATAATTCCGTGGATACCAAGAGTTTCTTGTCGGATTTTGATTGCTTTGATTTTGAAACTATATTATTTCCTCAACCTACCACGGTGTACCACCTTCTTGTATATTATCATCATTAATATCGGTATCATGCGTTATCTGCTTAGTCACTATCACTGGCATATTTTAACTGAGATCGTGGACAGAATCGTGTTTATATTCAGAGGATCCTCCACAGGGCGCATTACCGTTATAAGTTGGTCTCTGTGCGTAAAGCTGATATCATTTCCTAGTAAAGATTAGTTCCTGTTCAAGATAAGAGAGCGCCGCCCTAGTCGAGCCACCATTAAGCTTCTGTACAATTTCAAACAGTGTCTGTTAACGTACACGTTTAACAATATCATGTACACGATTGTCACTCGATAGAATTGATTCGTTAAACAAAGTGCTATGGCACTTAACGACAAGCGCTTGAATGATCAATTAATTTTGCGCCGCGAATAAAGTATGGCGCTATCGTATGATTAGGGACAAGACATTCGCGCTCGAAGCAAACGTTTTCCCGAAGGCCATGAAAAACTTCGAAAAAATGTAGCCAAGAATGTTATTGTAAAGTTCTTGACTCCACTCGAATGTCAACTACTCTTTTCACCAAGGATATTACCCGTGAAGTTAGCCACAGTCGTAAGAGGTTTCTGAAATATCAAAAGCAAACAGCCAACTTTACTGCTGGAATCCTTACGTAACGTCAATTAAACAGTATTAACAAACGAACAGTGAGAAAGCGTCAGTCTGAGGTAGAGACTCCTCTCGCCGTTATACCTATAAATTTGTACGGTCAAGTATCTTCAGGTAGCCATCATTGTCTCGTGGCTCCTACGAAGAGTCTAGTAAAGGAAAAATGTTTGTCCCGATTGAAATAGGTGTCGAGTGAGTATAGTAGGGAGGTTACTTATGCGCTAGGTTACTTCAGCCCGCCTCTAAATTTAGCGTGGGTGGGCGGCAGCAATCCGATCGGCCATTTGCCAGGTTTTCTCGACAGGGAGCAGCAGCTAGGGTAGTACGAGACCCAGACAAACCGCAGCTGTCCCCGAGCCGACGAAATAACGTTAGGTGTCGAGACGGCTCTGGGTGTTCGGTTGCCAGTTTCGCCGAATCGTTAAGGAGCGCTCCCATGTAGTTGCATTCCAGTTGGCCCCTAGCTTCTTTTATTGTAGGTAGTATACAGGCGCTAGACTATAGGCGATAACGTGTATTGTGGACTGACGCAACAAGAACTATTTCGTAAGGGACTGTCTTGCTGTAAGTAGTACTGCACGAAGTTTCCTTGCTTATAGCTTCTGTCTTGGAAAGAAAAAGAACATGGAGAATGACAAGGCTGCAATGGATATATATATATATATGTATATGTCGCTATCTTCGTTTCTCCTTCGCAAGAACCGGTCGGGTATGGCTTTGGCAATAGGAGGATGTTCCTGATGATGGTGCTGGCATATAAATTGAGAACTGAGTCTAGATCGTCCTCGAAATAATCGTAATAGTAATTAATGGCGGCTATGCTCTTGGAACGTTAAGAGGAGCATCGGGGTCGACGGCTCTGGTTCAATGACCAAAATAAAACGCTGGCGCATTATCGATCATGAAACGACGCGTGTACGGGACGCCATACTTGTTCTCTTAGCGTTTGTGGCAAGGCCTCTAATAGGCTGACTGGATTGTACTCTATACTCGTCCTTCTCACGCACGGGCCACGCTATGAACGTGGGTAATACTACAGCCAGGCGCCATGGATAAATATTTCACAGATGGTGGAACGGAAATCGGTGGGGGGGCGATATCTAGGGAGGGGTGTATGCAAATTTTGTTAAGCTATATATTTAGAAACGACTGTCGAGACTGTCCGTAGTAGAAACCAATAATGGTGTAAGGCGAAAATGTCGGTAAGGAGAGAGTAGTCTTTCCTTTCCCCTGATGCCCCAGGGCAGGCCTGATGTCAAAAATTAAGAGACTAATGTTAAATGTAGTTTTTTGATATTTTATTAATAAAGGACTTTTTTCCTCTGTGTTCTAGGACACTCTTGTACATGGATTATCGTCGGACAGGCCAGGATTTGCGAAGGGCTTCCGAAAGAACTTGGGGGGACACTGGCGTCGCTTGGTCAAGAGGAAGCCGGAAACAGAGACATGTGCCATTCCTCCTGAACTCAAGGATCAGCTAAAGACCATCTACGTCTATTGACCCTGACAAGGCTATCCACGGCCTTCTCTATAAACCTTCCACTCAGTAATCAATGCTTTCCCATACCGTAAGATAGTTATCGTCTACCGATCTGCGAAGAAGAGAGGAACGCTCGAGGAGGATGGAGCACAGAGAAGAAAGCAAGTCAAGGGAATGGAAAAATAGAATAAGAGCCTGGGAAAGTTTCAGCATGAAAGATCCGGCAGGGAGGGGAGACATGCTTGTAAATGGAAGCGCACTGTATGTACAGTTCGGTTGAAGATTCGAAAAGGTTCTTGACAAACCAAAGTCGTGAAAGTGGAAAGGGGGGCATGAAGCCCCAGTTCAGCACATATCAGGAGAGTGCCTAAAAGTGTTCGAGGCCGCAAGTGAAGTGCCACCTTGGTGGTCGGATGTGTCTTTGGCACAAGCTCTTGTTATCCGATCACTAATTTTAGCGTCCACTTGTGGTCCTTGAAAGGCGCGCATTACAACTGACCATCCTGGAAAGCGTCGCATTGTACAATCAGCGCCATCGGCCGATTAAATGACGACCCAAGTGCCTTTTCGACGAAAGAAGCTCGCCGTCTGGAAGTGCCGTAGCCGTTTGTTATTCACACTGAAAACGGTATCAAGGCTAGAAGTGATAACTTTGATTGGGAAGGACGATCGCGTAAGAAGAACTTCATGAGACTGAAAAAGTAAAGAGTACGACAAAACGAGTTACCTCGTAGCTTTTGTGTACGTTTTTACACGATTAGAAACTTCAATCACTAGTATTAATGTATACCTGAGTATAACGTTCGACTGCTGCTTAGGCTTTGGCAGTTCTGTCGTATGTAAATAGATGTATAAAGCAATAACGAATACGATGAACCAATTTTTTTTCTTCTTTCTCTTCGTTATACTTTTATTTTCTTCACGTTTCTTATGAGTGAGTGGCCAATGTTTTCCCTTCTCTGCAAACCTCGTTCAAAATCCCCCCCATAAACGGTCCAACAATAATTTTCGAAGAGACCTGTACTTTCTGTACGTTTCCGCTCATTGTCCAAACAAACTGTTGGTAGGTCGAGCCTAAGCTAATGCTTAGACTCTTCTCTCGCCAGTGCGATATAATAATATGTAAAAGCCGTAGCATTTCGTAGTAATTTGTAACATAGGCCAATTTAAGATTATTAACGTTACGACGGCTCATATTGAGCCCATACTACGTGCTAACATAGTATTTTAGTTGAATCGTTGTATTACACAGTACTGTAGGTAGTCACGATTTAAAAGATTGGACGCGTCGATGCCGATCTATAACGTAATAATTTACTAGGACGGAAAATCATCGTTATTGCGCAACTTTTCTTTTTATCGTCTCCGAGATATCCAACTGTGTTTTACGTTCGCGCACGACGACGATGTTTCTGTTTTCGTTTTTCTTTTGTGCACATATACAATTGATTTTACCTAATTTAAGGCAGTCTTCGTGCAGATGAAAAAAATTGTTTAAAAAATATACTGATCGCATGTAGATGGAAAGGATTGCGAATGTTTTCGATAACGTGGACATGAAAAACTGTTAGTCTCATTCATGTGGCCATTATGAATTTGATCGTGTGGAATTGTCATTCGATTTTGTAAATATAGTGTACTGTAACGTTTATTTAAGTCAACGCAGTTGCATAACGTTAGCACGGATTGAAACTATCAGGAAGAACCAACGATGTGCCTACATATCTACATAGTAAAAGGATTTTTGTAATGGTTATAATAATAATAGTATGGGGCTGCGCTCGCACTACCTAGTCACTTGTTACTATTGTCAAAAATCTAACGTTAGAAAACCTTCTGCGCAGCTTGCTAACTTTTGAAGATATCAGAATACAAGAAATGTCGAATAAAATATTTAAAATGAATTATGCCTGTATAAAAACCTTTCCTTTAGGTATATTTTTTCTCCAACTTACACAAATATCTTATGTATTATTATTATAATAATTTTATTTTAATTCTTTAATTCTTTATCGAGCATATTTTGAATTTTCGGGTGTCCTTGTTTCAAATGAATCTCTTGATGTTAACGACAAAATGTAGAACGAAATTATATATTTCGTAGATGGTACATTCCACAGTAGTTATTTTACTTAAACGTCCCGTCAAATGAAGCCGATCCATTAAAAATATAAAGGAGATTATACCTATAGAAAATCCAATATTACTGTTAGATATAAAACGAATTCGTTAAATCTTTCTGATGCTTACGCCACTGTAAAGTTACAGAGTTGTTGGATGGTGTAGAAGGGATGGCGCCATCAGCCAATGCACGTTAAGGTGGGGAGTAAGTTCAGTGGCGTAAACATTAGGATTACGAAAGAAAGTTTTGGAAAGTTGATGTTTAGATTTTCGATACTCTCGGCAAGATTTATAATCTATTACATAAATTTCTAATGTATAAATTTGTAACTTCACGAATACAATGTAAGTTGCTAGAACATCGTTGATTTTTCCCATTACCCATTATAGGCGAAGCGATCTGGGTCACCTTCTTAGGTTAAGTTTATTTTTCGCTTAGAATAACACCCGTATGGACTGTCTAAATGTTTAACGTTTCCTCTATATACACTGTTTTATATTTGAACAAGGAGACGATCAATCGCTTTTTTTTCATAATTGCTAAATTTTGTAGCTTATAGTCGTTTATACGCATTTCAAAGAAGCATGAGTAGTTCAAGTGCAGAGAAACCTATTGAAGGGGCAATAAGAACAAAATTGCAAGAATTAAATCCATCTCATTTGGATATTTTGAATGAATCTTATATGCATAATGTACCAAAGGGAGCAGAGACACATTTTAAAGTAATTGTTGTATCTGAGAAATTTAATGGTCAACCGCTTATAAAGGTAAAACTCATTTGATTATTTGTTTAAAAGATAAGATAGTATTTCTTAATTTATTATAAGATATTTGTATATTTTAGCGTCATCGTATGGTAAATGAGTTACTACAGACAGAATTACAAAATGGGGTTCACGCATTATCGATAGTAGTAAGTGTCTGTCTATTGTAAATATATATCAACTTCTATTAGTTGTTTGGTAATACATGCATTTTTCATTATGTATAAAGGCTAAAACACCAGATCAATGGAAGGATAGCAGTAATGTTGTTGAACCTAGTCCTGCTTGCAGAGGTGGTTTCGGAAAATAAATAGGAATCTTATAGCTTCCAAATGTACATATTCCATACAGTTCCAAGGTGTTAGAAATAAATATACCTCCATTATTTATTTCCTTACCTCAATGACTAATATTGTCTTGTTATATACATTTATCAAAAGAGTAATTAAAATAAATTGTACATATTAAATATACCTAGTTATTTTGCATTGAATTAAATCCAAATTGACGTCAAAGTAATGAAATCAATATGTAATTCAAAACACGAAACAAAAATATTCTATTAATGTCACAAGGAAAATGTATCTAGTCGTAGCTTTCCCTCATTCTCAGTAAGATACAAAATATCAGCCATTGATTGCTCTGCTATTGATTCTTCAGCTTTATCATGCATCTGTAATAGAAATAATTGTATTTATAATATATATGAAGAATAACATGTGAATAAAAACGATGTGATTGATGGTGCTTACTCCTCTGTAAGAACTGTTTGTAGGTGGGCATTTAAAATTTGGACCGAAATTCACAGAAACTGTCGCACTTTTGTGAATTGAAATAGTCGGGAAATAGGCACCGCTATTGACGTCAACAAATGCCTCACCCTGAGACACTCCATTTTTATAAAATATTATTCTACTGCCCATCAATGGCTTTAAAGCTTTCAGAGCTTCAGGCACTTGATCTTTTTCCTCATAGTACAGATGGCTCTTGAACTTTACAAGAGGCTGCAAATCAAATATAGTTAGAATTGCTGAATACAATTGTAAGTGATACAAAATTATTTATATAAACAGGGCTTACTCTGTCTTTATATGTATTGGGAATATGTGAAGCATTATGAGTATCGGGTAATGTTATCAGAAATCCTAAGGTATCACCTTCGCCGTAACCTGAACTATAATGTTTACCTCTGCTTTCATGGAATCTTGTACCTTTCCTGTTTCAACAGTACAATTATATAACCTTATGTAATCGATTATGAAATAATTCACTATACGTACCTAGATCTCCAAGAATACCCAAATTTATCATAACCAAGTGGTGCTTGTAGATTAGCATATTCTTGTCCCCACCCCAATCTAGTAGCTGATCCTTCAGGCATTTCCTCAATAGTTGCTTCCCAATACCATGAACCTCTGCTCACGCCTAGTAAATATAATCATATTTCTTATCCACGTCTGATACTATGCCATAAACAATAGATTACATATAATGATGACCTACAATGAGTAGCTCTGACCATACAATATCCTTTTTCTCCAGTTACAGCTAATCTGTCTTCTGAAACTTTCAGTTGTGGAGCACGGTCGTGCAGTGCTAATAAAACAGTGCTAGGACTTAAGGCTCTGTAAAGCCAACCAGGAATAGGTTTGCCAGCCCAGTCACTACTTTCATCAAATTCCTATGTAACAAAGAATAACGCTTAGAGTAGGCTGTTATATATTGCATTGTCGTTAAGTTACTAGTATCGCGCAACTTACCTGTCTGAAAGGTGCGTGGGGGTCAGGTTCTGCAAGGATATATCTGTAACCATCCTTATTAAAGGGATGTTCAAGAGGATAACCGTGTGCAGGTAATTTCGGTGCGGTCATATCTGATCCTCTTCCTTTCTTACCAGGCCCTGTTCCTGCACCTTCTCCAGGAAATTTGCGTTTTGCATTGCGTCCTCGTAGTCCTCCAGTCAGTGGCACTGTTTCATGACAATAGAAATACATTAGGAATACTCAGGTAAGAACAATTGCATAGTCATGTTACTGTCTAAACAATCAATTTGCTATTATTCACTGTGCTTCTATCGTTATAAATGGAGGTAAAACATAATGAAGTTGTTTGTGAGATTTAACGTGAAAATTAAAAGTGGAATAAATATTAGTAAGATAAATATAATAAGTAAATTAAATAAAAGAATAAATATCGTTTTACTAAGGCAAGAAGCATACCTGATTTTAACATCTCTGATGATTAAGAAACACATTATGTGATAGCTTATTGATATGTATTCTAATGATAAGATAACATGTGTAGATATAATCATATTTCTGGGATAGATATGTGTGGGAGAGCTTTGAATCTGTTAGGCGATTAGTATCCAGGAGTATCACACTTGTTATACAATATGCAATATATAAAGATTCTTAATCATTAATAAAGCTAGCGTGTTTTATTATAAATTACTGGTGCCTTTTGCTTGATTTAAAAAATATCACTTACCAACGTGTTGTACACCCATTTCAGTTACTTTAAGATGACCACCTTTGATCATTGCTTCATAATTCGGCTTTATTAAGACAAGATCTGGTGTTGTGAGTCCAAACAGCTGGCCATCTGTATTATTCTCATCCATTATGAAAAGTGTTCCAACATCTTTGAGCAAAGCTCTGTGAATCTATTCATCCGTTGCATCAATATTTGCATTATAGATTACAATTAAGGTATAAGATTTTTACTACTATCGTTTGCAGTGTATGTAATAATCTCATGATTTACTCATGCATACAAATTATAAAACTTACAGTTGCATGCCACGACTGTGTTACCCTGCGTGGCATAGTCGTCATACTTTCCCAATGACATTCTATAAACGGTATAATATCTTTGTCCTTATGAAAGAGTGTTCTTTGATCACTGTCTTTCTGACATATTTGCAATAAATTAGCAATAGCAGTTACACACATTTGTGGAAATGCTGCAATAATGTAATAAGAAATTTTTATATGCTAAAAGATTTCTTTTCAAATTTTAGAAACGTAGCCTCAACACTCACGAGCTTGGTTTTTTTTAAAACTTTCTAAACCTGTAGGTGAGCAATTTTTGCACATAAATATATAATTCATCATAAATGGTACCAGCTTTCCTAATTGGTATCCAATACAAGATTCGTGAAACCATCTTGAGCAACTTGCACAGAGTAATTCCGCAATATTGAGATTCCTTTCTTTTCCGCTGTAATGAAATATTCAATATCATGTCATTGATTTGTCGATAAAAATTTAATTGAATATGTAAGCTATATGGTTACCAATAGCAATTTGCATTTTCATTGTTATTGTTGCCGCGGCCGTTAGTTTTTTCGGCGGATTCGTCTGGTTTTATAGACTTTTGTTTTGCCTTTTCTTCAGGTTTAACTTTTATCTTCTCATCATTGTAAATTGTAGAACAGCCATCCGGCTTATCTGAGATGCTAAAATAATAAAAATATATTTAATTTTTAATAAATGTCTTTTCTTTCAAGCAACATAACCTCTGCGAATAGTGTGTATGAAGCCCAGGTAAATAATTTTTGGAAAACTGACAAAGTTACAATAATTATTATTTCTCTTACGAACGAATCACTCCTTTCAACATTTACTTAAAAAATAATGTACCTTTCAAATTTTTGTTCTGACATTGTTGTGTAGAATAAACTTCCGTGCAACCATCAAGAGTGATGAAGAGTACTAACAAAACATTCTTTCTCCCGCTGTACTGTTTAGAACATTATAAATATAGCAGAGAAAGCATGTATGTACCATACAGGCATGAAATAAATGTTACTAAAGATAATGATCCGTATTCATAGCACCAGAGATGAGTGAGGATATGCACAACGCTACGGTTTTAGGCGATACCAAAAGCATGGCGCTAAATTGTAGCGGCGTCTCTGGAAGTAGAGAATCTCGTCGTAGCCGAGCTAAACGGGAACAAGAACGCGTAGCTTGGCGGACAGAGGTTCTCTGCTACACACCGCTGGTTTCCAAAGCAACCTTTAGAAAGAGACCGGGAACTATAGAACCTCTCAAGAACTATTGTTGAAACATTTTTAAGAAAGTGCAGTTCCAACTTGATACCTGTGTAGCAACTCGATTTTTACTAAATATGATTGGATTTTGATTTACTTTCAAAATTTATTCGCAATATAAAATTGAGGCTAAATCAAAATTTCGCAGAATATACGAAGTAGATAAAAATTAAATTGAAATTGTAGAAGTTGTTGTTCAGATTGAAATATGAATAAATTAGGTGTTTGGAACATTAAAGTAATTAATTAAATCAATAAAGTAAAATATTAACATTTAGAAATCGGAAATTCTGGCCAAGCATATTTAGAAGTACTGGAAGCTGCCCAAAATTGTGTGCGCGCAAATTCATCGCGCAGAACACGGAGAGTGGGAGCAGTCGGAGAGTGGTGGGAGCACTCGGGCAGTGCCCGGATTCCGAGCGCTCATTCTTCCTCGAGCCGGTCTCCTATACTGGTCTCTTGGAAGCACCCCTCTCATTCATTTTCAACCTTCTTGATTTTCTATATTTATTTCTTAATCCTTCATCCTTTACTTTCTTACTTATCACTGTCCTTATTTTTTCTCTACTTTTATAACTCTATTCTTTACTTTTCTACTTCCCACTTCTTTATTTCTATCTTCATTTCTTTCTTCTCGTTTCGCTTTGTTCCTTCGCACTTTCAATTCTATTTGTCTTACTTTCCCTATTCCTTTGGTCGGGTCGAGCATATTAATTCAAGTAGTCATATAAGAGTAGTCACCCTGTTAGTGCAGCTAGACTTAAGACCATGGTGTCGGGGGTTGCCCTTCCGCCTCATCCGCTGAGCTTGCTCAGTGGTTGGTGGCCCAAGTTGTGGCCGCAACAGGACCTTATGGGTCTCCCGACGGGGGCCTTGAGCCCCCTTAGGGTATCTACGGCCATGGTCTTTCGTATAGTGAATCTAGCCAGGTGTCTAGCTCTCGCGTATTTAGTATAATTTGTTCGCTTTGCTAAAAACACTCCAACATGTCGTTGACCCTTGGGTGAATCTAGCCAGGTGTCTAGCTCTCGCGTATTTAGTATAATTTGTTCGCTTTGCTAAAAACGCTCCAATATGTCTTGACCCTTGGGCACTTGTGTGGGTAGAGACGATCCTATTTGTCGGTGGGGAGGTCGGAGGGGTAGTCCGTTGACTTTGGGTAAAGTCCTATTTGTGCTTGTGCTTGGGGGTCACTTCACTTGGGGTAGGTGCGGGTGCTATTGAGCACCCGCTAGTATAAAGTCACCCTCTGTCGGAGACATTTTGCGCGTTGATCGATGGCTAACGGGGCCCGCCGCCGGCGGCGGGCGTGGTTCCTTACGTCTAACCCACTGGGCTTTTGCCCGTGGGAAGGGACGGAGGTTGTAGCGTTAAATATCGTCCTTCGGGATGTCCCGGCGTGCCCGCAAGGGTATCGCTGGGTGCTACGCCCGCGGTCTTTCGTTGCGGTGAATCTTGACTAAGGGTAGACCTTTCGCGTTTAACTTGTCCCTTTTGCGTTTAACTTATCTTAGCTTTTTCGCGTTTAACTTCACCTTACCCCCTTGTGCGTTTTTCTTGTCCCTCGACCCGACTTCCTTTCCTTCCTGAGGTTTTTCCCCCCTAGTCCTGTGCGCGAAAGCCGCAGGACTCGGGGGTTTTCCTCAAAAAAAACAACAAAAAAACACGGTCCCCTATGGGGCCTCGGAGGGGTCGTAGCTCCCTTCAGGAGAGGCAGGACCTCACGGAAATGGGCGAGGTGGGGCCCATTTCGCTCCTTTATACTTCCTACTTTTCTTACTTTTTCGAGTCTTCTCTTTTCTCGCTCGTCCAAAATAATCTCGTCTCCGTACATACGCTTTACGCATCTTCTTCTCCCCTTGTTCCCTCAGTCATAACCATCTTTCTTCTTCACTCTTTCTTTTTAACAATCTTCCTCTTTTCCTCTTCAGCAACATCTTCCCTGTCTGCTGCCACCAAACGGTTCTACTCAATTTTCGAATCTCCTATTCCTTCCTATGTCTCCATCACTCTCCTCCTAGTATATCCTTAAAAACTAAGTTTTTAAAATGTCTTTTGGCAAAAGAAAAGTCGCATCTTCTTCTCCCCTTGTTCCCTCAGTCATAACCATCTTTCTTCTTCACTCTTTCTTTTTAACAATCTTCCTCTTTTCCTCTTCAGCAACATCTTCCCTGTCTGCTGCCACCAAACGGTTCTACTCAATTTTCGAATCTCCTATTCCTTCCTATGTCTCCATCACTCTCCTCCTAGTATATCCTTAAAAACTAAGTTTTTAAAATGTCTTTTGGAAAAAGAAAGGTCCATAGTGGTAGCATATGTAACATACCACACGTGTATTATATTGCAGTGATATATTTTAATATATCTCTAATGGCATTGTTATTACTAAACTTTCGAAAACCATACTTTGTACATTGTATTATTATTGTATTGTAGTTTATTGCATTTATTGTATCATTACTGTACTTTGTATATTGTATTATTATTGCGTTTGTTCAATAAATTATCTTTAAACAATTATACACGTTGATATTCTTTTGTCCTATGCGAATATCCCAGAGTACGAATGAGTTCTGTCTCTTTCTTACACTCCTGCGTCCTAACAGAATTCTTCTCCTCCCTTATGCTTCAAAACCCCTTTTTAGCTGTGCTCCATTTTACATTCCATCTCTGCCATATTATCCACATCTTGACTTTGCTTTTCTTCATGAATACTACCTTCTACGATAAAATGATTTCAAATGTAATTTGGAAATCGCATCGTCGAAACTCCAGTGGGTCAATTTTTATTTAAGTATTTGTATTAGTTCGAATTTTCGCCGATAAGAGGGCAGCACCTCCTGGGCATGATATGTGGCGCCATCTCTGAGAGAACGAGTGAACTTTCTCCGATCAAATAGTTCTAATTGTAATTTGAAAATCGCTTCGTCGAAACTCCAATGGGTAAATTCTTATTAAAGAATTCGCATTAGTTCGAATTTTCGCCGATAAGGGGGCAGCACCTCCTGGGCAGGATATGTGGCGCCATCTCTGAGGGAACGAGTGAACTTTTGCTGGGAAAATCGGCATTTTCAAGCGCCCCCTATCGTTGATATACGGAACTAAAATTTGCAAGACTTTTTGGGAAAACCAGGTTTTTGAAGCGCCCCCTATCGTTGATATACGAAACTAAAATTTGAAAGATTTTCGCTGCAAAAGTTCACTCGTTCTCTCAGAGATGGCGCCACATATCCTGCCCAGGAGGTGCTGCCCTCTTATCGGCGAAAATTCGAACTAATACAAATACTTAAAAAAAAATTGACCCACTGGAGTTTCGACGATGCGATTTCCAAATTACATTTGAAATCATTTTATCGTAGAAGGTAGTATTCATGAAGAAAAGCAAAGTCAAGATGTGGATAATATGGCAGAGATGGAATGTAAAATGGAGCACAGCTAAAAAGGGGTTTTGAAGCATAAGGGAGGAGAAGAATTCTGTTAGGACGCAGGAGTGTAAGAAAGAGACAGAACTCATTCGTACTCTGGGATATTCGCATAGGACAAAAGAATATCAACGTGTATAATTGTTTAAAGATAATTTATTGAACAAACGCAATAATAATACAATATACAAAGTACAGTAATGATACAATAAATGCAATAAACTACAATACAATAATAATACAATGTACAAAGTATGGTTTTCGAAAGTTTAGTAATAACAATGCCATTAGAGATATATTAAAATATATCACTGCAATATAATACACGTGTGGTATGTTACATATGCTACCACTATGGACCTTTCTTTTTCCAAAAGACATTTTAAAAACTTAGTTTTTAAGGATATACTAGGAGGAGAGTGATGGAGACATAGGAAGGAATAGGAGATTCGAAAAGTGTATAAGTGTTGCAAGATAATTTATTGGACAAATCGACACCATGGTCTTAAGTCTAGCTGCACTAACAGGGTGACTACTCTTATATGACTACTTGAATTAATATGCTCGACCCGACCAAAGGAATAGGGAAAGTAAGACAAATAGAATTGAAAGTGCGAAGGAACAAAGCGAAACGAGAAGAAAGAAATGAAGATAGAAATAAAGAAGTGGGAAGTAGAAAAGTAAAGAATAGAGTTATAAAAGTAGAGAAAAAATAAGGACAGTGATAAGTAAGAAAGTAAAGGATGAAGGATTAAGAAATAAATATAGAAAATCAAGAAGGTTGAAAATGAATGAGAGGGGTGCTTCCAAGAGACCAGTATAGGAGACCGGCTCGAGGAAGAATGAGCGCTCGGAATCCGGGCACTGCCCGAGTGCTCCCACCACTCTCCGACTGCTCCCACTCTCCGTGTTCTGCGCGATGAATTTGCGCGCACACAATTTTGGGCAGCTTCCAGTACTTCTAAATATGCTTGGCCAGAATTTCCGATTTCTAAATGTTAATATTTTACTTTATTGATTTAATTAATTACTTTAATGTTCCAAACACCTAATTTATTTACGATTTCGTGGAAAAAGTAGAAAAAGTAGGAAGTATAAGGGAGCGAAATGGGCCCCTCCCCGCCCATTTCCGTGAGGTCCTGCCTCTCCACATGGGAGCAACGACCCCTCCGAGGCCTGATAGGGGACCGTTTTTTTTTTATTGAGGAAAATCCCCGAGTCCTGCGGATGTCGCGCACAGAACTAGGGGGAAAAACCTCAGGAAAGGAAGGAAGTCTGATCAGGCGGCAAGGAGAACGCAAAAGGGATAAAGTAAGTTAATCGCGAAAGTTCATTGCTAGTCGAGGATTCACCGCAATGAAAGACCACGGGCGTAGCACCCGACCCTGTAACCTCCATCCCTTCCCACCGAGCAACCTCAGTATATTAGTCGTAAGTGACTTCCGTTTAGTGAATTTTATTTACTTATTCCTATCATCCTCATATCCGTATTCTTTTTTTTTCACTTCTTGCATTCCTTCTTCCATATTTCTTTGCTTTCTTATATCTTCTTTCTTTCCTTACTCTTATACTTCTATTCCTTTACATTCTAATTTCCTTACTTCTTTCTTTCTTACGGCATAGTGGTTAATCATTCCACGCCCCCTAGCAGAATTGACAATACAAGACATACATTTTCCTGGGGAGAATTTTTGTTAGTTACGGGGAAATCCATCCATCGACAAATCATCATAATAACATCAAAGGCAAAATCAATTATCAAATGCAACTTCTTTATTCAAATCGAATTAAACAGGTTTGTATTACAAATAATAATCATATCTGGTAAACAGTTTGATTCATATAATTTTATTCGAATTCATTGCAGTTACCTGCGCGTACATATTTGAAGACTAGATTCATTACATTTTACAGTGCATTACAAATAAGGACGATTACTAGCCGCTAATCCCTTTCCGCTAATCTGTCACCCGACTCCAACTGCAATCGTGCCCTACGAACTGGCGGTCAACCTTAATTATCATCAGTACCCTAATTAACCATCAATATTCCCATTTTAGTGTGCACGAGATTGTCGAGCGAAGCGCGATTTCGAAATTGCATTGTCACAGCATCCAACAGTTAATCTTACGATTAATCCCAGACGCTTCATAAATGAAAATCGATTATTCCTTTAGGCTATGTGGGTAAGCGGATCATCTGTATGTGGATAGCTGACGAGAATACACACGTGTAACGCGATACGTAATTTCATCCTCCCAAATACAGGCAGACATATTTGCACCGTCAGTGAAAAGCGTTTTAACACTTTCGTCAAGAATGTTATAATCATGAGGAAAAAAACGATAATTTTTTAATGAAAAGCCAAAAACTATACACAACTAATATCAAATGTCTAACGGAGCAATTCTGAAATTCGGCCATTATTCAAATAGGGATATCCGTTCACGAATTTAACCTTTGACCCACTGACGTTCACCTACGAATAAAAAAGACATTTGCGGCTAGCGTGAAGTTCGCGGGTTCGAATTTTCTTGTTACGAAGTTCGTAAGTCACGGCAGCTCCTAGGGTATCCGATGTAATGACAGGACCATTAAAGTCCATTAGATAATAAGGTTAGAGAAATTCATAGCAAGCTCATAAAACAATATATGAATTATTTGCAAATGACACTTGACGATTCCTCCGGATCCTTTGAATTTCACGATTAGGCCAACGGTCGCTGGGAGTTACCAAACGAATGGACTTTCGATAAATATAATTGCTTCGTTAGATTTCATACGAATTCTACGTGCCCTTTATATTACTACACCGACTGTACTTTTTCTCGTAAGAATGTACAGTCTTGCACTTTTGTTCAAATAACAATGACGACAATAATCATGAAGTATGCTCGGGGCACTATAACTTGTCTCGTAATTCTCTTTGTTTCTTATATCTGAGGTAGAGAGTGGAAGGTACTGGGGAAACACGGTCGTCACACGAGGAATCTGGCCTACCGACGCCTCCATAGACTTTATTCGTTCAACGACGTATAATGGGTGAGACCTGTAAGAGAGGTTCTAAAAATGATATAAAAAAATAAAATGACAATTCAACAATATCCTAGTGATATTAATTGACTGTACAGAAGTAAAATGAGTATTCAATTAATTGAATGGCATAAGTAAACTTATTGCTTAATTTTCTCACGTCGATTATTATTGACTGCGCTTGCCTCTTCTTTCTTCTTCTTCATTCTCTACATATTACAGCCTCCGTATGGCTTTTCCCATGTCGCTCATTATTATTATTACTCTTGCTAGGAATTTATCTGTTTGTCTACTAGCTACGTATTGCAACCTCTATCGACTGCGTCATCTATATTTATATATTTATATATTATACGTTGTATATGTGTGTATATATATATATATATACAACATAATGTATATACATATACACCGAGCGTTAACGTAACAGCCAATGATGTTAGTCTGTCTCAGTTGCCCATAGCCAATCGCGCAGTAACGCAGGCAGAACGCTCCCGGCACCAGAAGATTAAAGAAGGCAAAGTTACAAGAGATCACGTAAACCAGGGGCGCCAGGTATCAGCTTACATAACCTCAAGCTACAAAACGTCTATACGTATGGTACAGCAAGGAATTTCCACGATACTGAAAGACGCTTCCTTTTGAATGCCCGTCGTGTCTGATTACTTGTTCTCCTTTTTCTACTTCGCTTATATAACGTGCTCAGTTTCATTTGCATCGTACGTGACATTCATATCTAGAAACAATTCGATCCGTCATTAAATTTCAGCAAATAGGAAGCATCTACGCTTAAACGCGGCTGTAGGTTGTCTTCCGGGAGACATAACATATCCGCTGTACAGAGATTTATTATTATTTCCAATATAAAATATCTATTGATACGTTTCGATCGAATATATGTCGTCCCAGTAATCGTTGCCCTACAGCCACCTAAAATATATATCTTTTACGTAAAAATCAATGCGTACCTATCTCGTGCCAATACATATTTCAATTTTCACTAATTATTTACATTGCTTGAACCAGAAAAATTCTTTTTTGGATCTCACATTATTTTCAATCATTTTCTAATCTTTTTCTAGCTTCACTTACAATTTTCTACACGTAGTCAACTTGCTCCGACGCCAGGGCTCACAGTTGTTCCTTCTTATCTATAGTTCTCGACAGTTTTTACCGACGTCGACGCTTCACCCTCCTTACCATCGGATGAGTTATAAAACTATATAGTTATACAAACTCGTCCGCCAGATGCTCGAGAAACTTTTATTTACGTTCCTTCCGAGTTTTCATTCTCGACGCTGCCCGTAGAAATGTGGGACAGACTGTGCACAATACGTATTATAAAACAAAGTGTCATCATATCACCATGAAAAAAAAAATTTCTTCGTTCGCAGTGATAAAATGTTAAAAACAAAACACCTTAATTTTGTGTGTCTGCCTTAATAAATAATTAACCCTCAATTTGGTTCTACTTTTACGCCACTCACTTTTAATACGTTAACAACACATAATATCGATCGACGCAACCGGAATGGAGTAAGATGAAGTGTAAAACTTCTGTGCAGTGAATTAACGAAAGAGACTACAGAGAGAATTATGCCGGCAAGGGGCTCAGGAGCGGCATAATACTCATCCAGGGCCCTTCCCTATCCCTTAACATTTGACCTCATCCATTTGACATATAAACGAACATGTTCTTTTAATTTTAACTATCATTTTCATCTGCTTCTCTCTCATCTAATCGCACGCGTCACATCCACAGACAAAACAACACCAGGCGACGTACGCTATCACGTAAAATAATCTCATGCATACTTTCACACATTGCTTTATCCCGATTGAGAGGCTACGATCAATCATATACGATCATCACGCATGTTATAAATACGCACAATGCAAATTATAATTAAGCGCGTGAAATTTTGCCAGGGAAAAATTATTCCCTGTATGATTAATAGATATACAAGACATTCGTTCCGTCACGGGGTGTCAGTCGTATGAAAATTCGTGAAAAAAAAAATTAGAAAGTCCGGTTGCACGTATGTAGGGCACTGAAGGCAGTGTACGTTCCTGATTAAGTATTTCTTCGAATTCATAGGTATTTTCTATACCCTTCGTGCCGAGATTACTCTCTTGTACTTCGTTGTCTATGCTTTTTCAATCCTTATTAAATTTTATCAGCGAGACGATACTCAATGAATTATCACCGATAATACAATTGGGAATATACATATGTGCATATGCGAAGTTTTCACACCCTACGTCATAACCGTATACGCGACGAGCGCCTCTATCGGGATTCTCGTGCATTCGAACATTTCACTTTGTGTCTTTTAATTGTGATCTTATTCGTAATCATTACTTATGAGATACACAATTATTCTGCTTGCGTAATGAACGCAGCGCAGTATTATTTTTTTAAATGTAACTCATATTCCCTACGACTTACGGTTTATTGATATCTTAATCCCTACACTTAGTTCTAGTACGTTTATTTATGTGTCGAATAATAGTCACTTAACAGGATACGCGTGACTTGTGTGTTCGGCGCTTATAAGACCTTTGATTATTAATATTATTATTAATTTCGTTATACCGTTCGTTTGTTCTCTACTGTATTTATATATATATATATATATATATTATCGTGAGTGTATATGCATACGAATTGTCATATCTGATTAATATATACGCGTGTCGTAATGTGTATGTATAAATTAACAAATATTCACACATATACATTATATACAGTTGATTAGGTCACGAGACAATTAAAAGAAGATTAATTGTATTTACATAATATATATATATTGCACATATATATATATTATATCAATTATCGGTATTATTTTTTTTTCGTCGATATACTCGCTCCACGTGTTATCAATTAACGATTTATTTCATTCATACAGATATTCCATTACATTATTGTCCAGTTTGACCACATTCACACGTATAATTCGGTGCGGTTTCCAGGGAGGCCTAATTTCGACAATCCCACAATAGCCATCCGCGTACGTAGCCCACGCATTCGTTATTCTCTCATTCTTTGATTTTCTTTTTTTTATGAAAATAATTCAAATATTTTTCTTACGTCATGTGCAAATCGCCCTTTAATATTCTCGTGAAGGTCTTTTTGAATTGTTGATTCGCCAGTGCATAACAAAATGGATTCATTGGACTATTCGCGTAGCACAGAAAATACGAGAACATGTACAAGTGCTCGTTGGTGCAGGGTGGATTCGCACAGAAACCTTCAACGAGCGCCAATATATGATAGGGCGTCCAGCAGGCGACGAAAGCTCCGAGAATAAAAGATATAGTCCTGAAGGCTTTGCGAGCTCTATTTTCAGTCCTGGACTTTTGTCTTCCCACAGTGGGATCCTTTTTCTGTGTCTTCACCTTCAGCCTCTTACCAATAGTCTTAACGAAGTCTCTCCTGGAGCCACTCTCTTCTCCGTCGCCAGCCTCCCTCTTCTTGGACTGCCTCTTGGCTTCCGCTCCGCTCGTGGTACCGGAAATCGTTGGAACAACACTGCTGGATGATGAGTTCTGAGGTGGATTGACTGGTTTTGGTGCATGGTCGGAAAGTCTGTCCGTTATGCTGTTGGATGATTCGACAGGGGGTGTTTCGTTGACAACAGTGGTTATGGTTGTCACTGGCTGATGACGCTTTATGTCCTCGGTTTTGACAGTGACCTCAGTATTGACTTTACTCACTGTCGGTGAGGTCTGCGAGGACGCGTTACTCTGATGAGTAATGAACACGCGAGGCGGAAGTGTTTGGCTCGAGGCATGTTGAGTGATCGGCTCGTGCTGAGAATTTATAAGTGTTTGGGTTGTTCCGGCTTGCTGGGCGGTTGCGCGGATCAGCGCCGCCTGAAGAAGACTGGTATTGGCAGCTGAGGTGCCGAGGTTTCCTAAGAGTGGCGAAGACGGCGCCGTTGATAACGGATTGGCTAGACTGCAGGTGAAAGAAGATGGTGGACTCTCGTAAGAAGGACTAGGTACTATCACTGAACTCTCGTCCATGTATCGAAGATCAGCACCATCAAGACCAGTCAGTATGTCATAGGTGATCTGACTTTGAATGGATACCACCAATGATTTGGGTCTGTCCGTCGAGGACGACGTGGAGGTGGCGTCGGAAACCGGTGGACTACTTTGAAATTGTGACGGAGGTGGTATGATGATCTGTTGAGCGCTTGATTGAGCATTGATCAAAGAGAATCTCAAGTGAGCAGACGGTGTTGTGTTTAAAGATTCATTGTTACCCATAACCTCGCTGTCTATGGTACCAAGCCCTGTCCTTGGATCCGTTCCTATTGATTTCAGCGATTGCTCTGGGGTCAGGGTACTGCTGGACCTGTCAGGCTCAATTGGATTGTCCGTATCTAGCAGGCTCTGCTCCTGGATCAGAGGCAGAGTTTGAGTCTTTGACAGATTCCCAGTGACCTGATCACCGCCAGGACTCGTCGGTGAGGGCTTCCTCGCAGGGACGTTCATCTCCACCTTCACTGGAATTATACCATTTATCCTACCGTTACTACTGAACACTTGGAGCGCACCGGATTGCGCTACCAGACCAGCTAAAGATGATCTTTTCCTACCGCAGTTCAATTGCTGCGCTGGACCAACCGTACTATCCTCATCGGAATCAAATGCTGGGCTGCTTGATCTTTCGGATTTCTCCGTCTCAGATGCTGTAATCGGTAAACTCATTTGTTTGGTATCAAGTTCTACAGTGGCACCGGTACCAGGTGCCGTTTTGGAGGACGTCTTCTGCACAGCAACGTTATCCCCATTTCCTGCGGTGTTAGTCGACGCTACCGGAACTCCTCCACCACCGCCACCACCGGGTGTAGCTCCCACTGCTTTCGGCTTGTCCTGACTGAGCAAAGTACTCTGTGTCTTTGATATTCCAATACCCGCCGCACGTCCAGCCATCCCTGACATTGCACCAGCACTCAGCGCTACCATAGACTGCATCTTACGTTGCTTCGCCTCGCTCTTCTTCTGCATGTCGTACGCCGTCTTGTAGATACCGCCATACAGTATAAACAGCACTATCAAAGTGGTCCAATAGTAGCCAATTATCAAGGCAGTGTTAAAGACAGGATCCTTTAGGAACTGCACCGCGCACTGACCAGGCATTAGATCCCTATATCCCACAAAATGCTCCCAACCAAATATACTGATGAAGAATAGCAAAGCTGGTATTATCCACGTGATAGTCACCATCCATATCACCCGACTCTTCGTTCGCCAGTTTCTGTACTTGGCTGCGATCTTAACCGAGCAGAACCGATCGATAGTGATCAACAGAACCGTGTATTGCGACACCAGGCACACCGTGTAATCCACAGACAACCATAGATCACACAGTAACGGTCCCAAGTCCCAATATCCCATGAGCACGTAAACCGTATAAAATGGCATGGAAACTGTACCTGGAATCAAAGATAAAGGTGACGCCTGATAATCCCAAACATACCGGAAACGTGAGACTCACCGATTAGCATGTCAGTAGCGGCGAGTGAAGCAATGAAGTAATTACTCGGCTGTCTGATTGTTCTGTCCACGATAAACGCTAGCAGTACAAGTATATTACCGCCTACGGTGAGTACTATACAGATTGCTAAGCACAACGCGATCAGGATCGTCTGCCAAAGTTCGAACGGCGGAAGCACAGGACTGAGTGACTCATCTGGAAAAAAATTCACAATTAAAAAAAAATCCATTGCCAAAACAAATCAAGCTGAAAATATCTATTGCGAACCTTGAGTAGTCGGTGAGGTTGCATTACCGACGGAGGAGACGTTAGTAGCATTGGTGGGGAACCAATCAGGTAAAAGGTCAGCGTATTCGCCACTGTTCCAACGTGGGTCATCAGGATCCGGCCAGGAGCCATTCAATTGTGTACACTCAGCCGTCAGGATCTGATTGTACACATATCGACAAAGACGTTCCCGCTGTCTCTTTAATTTCCTGTAAATCCACAAGAAGGAGACTCGTCAGTACCATCACGTCACATCCATTAAAAGACGAAACCATAATATACCCAGACCATCCTACAACGTACGTTTAGGTAGAGTCTATCACGAGGAGGGACAAAGAATAAAGTCTCCGTCTAGCCCTTAAATACCTTCTCGCTCTAGTTGACTCACTTTTGTCGCTTACAGAAATAGCCTTCCGAGCTCGAGTGAAAGCATCCCCTGAATAATTCAAGCTCTAGTCATAGGTTAGGTAAGAGCAGTACGTAGACGCCTACTTACCTACCCCTACTAGCTCAGGCTTTAATTAGTTATTGGATATGGATAAACGCGCAAAGATTTCATTAGTATCCTTGAATCTGCTCTACTTCACTCGTGCAGGATAAACATAATTATTACTAAGCGAAGAATCATACACATTATTATAGCACATAGAGCTATTATCCACATCATGGATATCGAACAGGTAAATGATGTTTGGTCACTTTAATAAATTAACCGTAATCATATATATGATTGCGATTCAAAATTTCGTTATTAGCTGTTATTATATCTTTTCTGTACGTAAAGAATATACGAGTACGTATTTCTTCGTTTCCCTGACGACGTACATGGGCGCAGACTCTTTATGGCCGCTGCAGTGGCAGCACGACGAGAGTCAAGTCAAAGGCTGAATACACGGAGCGCACAATGAGCTTGAAATAAGCATGAATGGAACCACCATCCAACCTCCTACCCTTGCAATGTATCCACCTCCTCTCTATATATAGATATACAAGTCGGTGAAAATTGCCCGGGGCCAAGGAATGACGAAATGTGCCTTAAAGAGGGTGAAGTATTTTTTTTTAATGATTCAACCTAACGATCACGTTTTTGGTATCTGGTAACGGGGCTGCTGTGCGTAATTAATAGTTGAGGGGTCGGTTGTGACGTATTATTTTTCAAGGGCCGATCCCTTAAACAGTTGAAATGTGTATATTAGCATGGTCCTAATGAAAGTAGTGTAGTTGAATAATGATTTTACGGCTGACGAAAGGTCATTCCAATGATAATGCAGGTGATGATACGGATAAGGGCGGAAGTGATACGAATCTGAAGAATGGAATGAGGGGTGCCATTATCTTTGACATCATCGGGGGTAAATACTCGTCCTCGTTACAACGTTCTTCCTCGTCTTAAAGCTGCCCTTCTGCGAAATTATCCGAGCGTAAGTCGAATGAGAAAAAAAATGACGACAAAGAG